GAGCTACTTATTGAATGTGGAAGATTTTTGTTTTTGCTTCTTCCGTTCCTGGGGTCAGTAAAACTGTTTGTGACGGATAATCTGAAGTGATAACCGAGACTCCATTTTCCTCACCGGATTACCTGCATAGCGTGTCAATTACTTGTCCACCAGGAATGTTGAGGTTTATTATCGTACGTTTTTCATTAAGAAGCTGATTTACTTTCCCCTTCTGTAAACTAAGAAGAAAATTCCTATAAAGTAGGGATATACAACTGTACTTACTAGCAGTCTAATAAAATGAACACTTTGAAACAAATCGTTATTCTAGTTTCAGGAGTGACGGTATAGAACCACAAAAACCTTCTGCCTTCAGTTTGCATCTTGTTGGGGTCGTATGGTGTTGACTTTGGATTTTATTTTTGAGGCCAGTATTGCTTTAACGTGTTCATACTGTTTTTGTGCCTGGGGAACGGAGTCTGTGTAGCTCGATCTATTTAGTATTGTTATAAATATAAAATTTTTAACGATTGAGTTGTAAACGCTGTAATCGGTTTAAGAACTATTCTTCGCAACCCAATTGTGCCAATGATTTTCATTTTCATGAAAAAATGAAGTATTAAGCTGTACGGGTTAAGGGCATATACTTCCTAGAAAATATTTTACATAAAGTCATCCAGCTAGATTTGGACTTTACGCTAGACTCGTTTTGTTGAATTTATCGCAAAGTGCTTTTCCTTTTTCCAACTATAATAAACAGTCAAATAAATTGGTTTGAATGTAAATTTTAGACTTCCTTGATCATTCAGTTCACTTCTTTCAGGAAAAATGCTCAGATTTGAAATAATTTTGGTCCCGTTGTATCTAAAACGAAATCAGTTGTTACCGATATCCATAATAATTCTAACTATTTTTGAATTTCAACCACTTCATGATACCAGGTATAGCAAAGCTTATTTGGGTAAGCTACCGACTGATAAACTACCATCTAACTAATACAATGATATCCAATTACTGAAATTGGAGCAAATGTTGATGAACGAAGTTTCATAATATAATTTAAATTATTTAGTGGGATTCACCGCGTAGAGAGCAATTGTAGCGCAAACTGAAAACTGGGAAGCACTGTACGACTTTGTCGACCTGGCTGAGTGTCATCAGCAGAGAGTGAATCCATCAACCCAATTGAGGATCGAACTCGGGACCTCACCAGGAAGCATACTACCCACTCGAGCACCAGGCTGCTGACCAGACAGATGTACAGTAATTCTTAGCTTATTAGTTCACACTTCATTTGGTCCATACATAACGAATTTTACTACATCACTGAACCAAATCCTCCATTACTCTCGTTTATAAAATTGTGCGTTTCCGAAAACCAAGATGCGTAAAGCTTGTCAGCAAAAAAATCCAAAAATGTTCTAATAATAACCTATAGTAGTAATAAAGCTGCTCATAGCAACCAACCAAAAATTCGATGAATGTCAGCACGTACGCGTGCGCGTACAAAGCGTAGGCGGCGTCCGTGCGTGGGTTCGAATCCCACCGAGGCTACTGAACAACCGCCATATGAATGTCAGTACATTATGAGGAAAAACGGAGTGGCGAACAACCTCGTTTACGGTGATTTTTCTACAGGTTAATACATCACAATTTATCTCAAACTGTGTAGTAGGGAGGGAAAAACCATGACAAGTTGGAGAGGAAATAATCGATACTACGGTTCCAGGACCGGATGTTCTGATGTATTGATGGCATATTCGAAAGAATTCCAATACCTATTTCTGGACGCTTTTTGTCCTTTTAGTTGTTTGGAAAATAAAATTTAGTGTAAAGTGGTAAAAGAGCTATATTTCCAAAGGTTATTTGACGCTAAAGTGTGCAGTGCTGTCAAAGAAACCGACACCCAAATGCGTATCCTTTCGCTAAAGGAGAACCCTAGTTTTAGCTCAGGTGAAATTAACTTACCACGTAAAACTAAGGTTATTCTTTTTCGTTGATAAAGAAACATAAGAAGAAGCAATGACGTTTCGCAATTTCATTGACTCCGAAGTACTCAGATCAATACGCTCACTAGGTATTTTAACGAATTAAGCGGAATGTTTCACTGGTTTGAATTTATCATAAAGTGTTGATTTCACCAATACATACATATATAACTAAGGTTTGAAAATAATCATACTAACAAGAGAAAAATAAAAATAAAACGGGGATTGGGATACAGTTGATAACGACGTGAGTAAGCCATTTGAAGAGAATATCAGAAGGACAAGGACAATAATGCCTTTCTCTTTTCGAATGAGAAGATAACAGAGCTAAATTGCACGATTTATACCACCAAGGCAGATTTAACTGCATCTGAACTAGTAAAATGCGCAAGAGACCAAAGATCTGTGTCGGTTGACATTTGTTCATCAGGTACACGCAAATACAACAGAACCGAATGATCTCACACACCATTAACGCAAGCCTGGCCTCGGTGTGCGCAACAAGGAGCTGTCACTCACACTGTCACTGCGCCTGTGCAGTGTGAATGATGTGTGTGTGTGTGTGTGTGTGTGTGATCACTCAGTGCTGTCGTATTTGCGTGTCACTGATATACTGTCAAAAGACCCAGATCGTTGATTTCTCTTTCGTATGTATTGTGTACCAGTTGAGATATCGCTTAATGTCTTGATGACATAAGTCGTGCAACAGAACTCAATCGTTCTCTCTCTTCAACTTTATCTCGGGGTAATAAATGTTTTATTATCTTTCTTGTTTACCCGCTGGCTTTCTGATGTTGTTTTTTTGGTTCTAGTGTATTTTCCTAATGCCTCTTACTCCAATGGAGTAGAATGAACCCGTGTTGTGCATCAATAATATGACTTTTTTGACGATTTCTAGATTGAACGCAAGAAAAAAATCACTTTTGTGTAATTTCTTCTTGAGATTAATCACATCATAATTTATAATTACCGAAAACGGTTGATGTAGAAATGATTCATAAGAGTAGAGGGCGCTGTCAAGTAAATGCTTCATCTTGGGGTAATTGATGTCAGTGTTTCATGAACCGTTTATCCGGAGCGACTGGGTCGATGTCCAAAAATCACTTGCTAATACCTTCGCAAATGCCTTTTGTGCACGACAAAGAGGTGATTGATAAACTGAATTGCTCCCGGTTACTTTGTGGTACAAGACGACTCTAGGTCTCTTTCGGCAATCTCTGACGATAAAAATTGAGCGACGAAATTTCATGCTACAGTGACCGGTTCACTGAAAGCAGTTTGCGCAATCGGTGATAACAGTCCTTCTGCGGTCGATTGTTTCCCGATTATTCAAGCTAGAATAATGTTCCCCTCATGGAATAAGACGGACATTCGACGGATTGATTCACCAAGCTCACTTCACAGGTTGGCAGAAAAGAGGAAAAATTGTATCTCGATAATCCGTCTGTTCTCGGCACAAGGGATATTGCAAGCTCAAAGAAAAGGTCATTCATATTTCATTGTCTTATCAATGGTCAAGGTGTAGCAGTAACCAGCATTGTGTTAGAATTTCGTTTAGTGCACGCATTTCGTCTATCTAATTTGTAATAAATTAGAGACGCTGGTGTATCTACCCGATATTCTTGCAACCCCGGTCTATATGAATTCTTTCTCTCTGTCTTAGCTTTGACCGTGCTCGCAAAATTTCAATTTTCCTTCTACTTTTTGATTTAAATGAGCAAAATCAAAACGGGTACATTAAAATGCATGCTTAATAAATGTACAAAACTAAACTGAAACTCACTTTTCATTTAATATCGTCTACTAAAAGGGGATTTGGTGTTTACTGGAAAGAATGAATGTGCGATGCGATGCCAAGGTAGCTTCCGGGCGAGCAAAGATAAAATGCGAATAAATCTATCTTAATAACTATGACGATTTTACCCCATTTCACTTATGATTATTACCTCACTCTCTCTAGGGTCATGTGGGGTATTTTTCCAGGACCAGACAGTTATCCAGGTGCGCAGCCTTCATTTATTTTTCAGGGAAATTCTAATCTAAGCCGAAAACCTGATGTATGTGTTTAGTTCTGATCTTGGAGTAAAGAAACTCAGAGGAAATTTTGATCCCAAATGAAATCAGAGTTTTTGAAAAAAATGGTATGCTCCTTCGCATGTCAAGAGAAATTTCTAGGAACTCAAAAATCTATTGAAAGGAATATGATAACAATCGTAAATTTGTGGATGTTGAGTGCAGTCAAATTGAATGTCCGGAAGCGTGATTCCGAGCTATATTTATTGTTTTCCAATTTGCTAACTCCTGATTGTTAAGCTTTGTGAAACAATTTTTTGAAAGCCAGTTTGTGCCTTACTACTCATGCTTTAGGTTTGCTAAAAATCCAACATATTTCGATTGTGCTATTATGCAACGGATTAGGGAAATTCCATGTGATCTGTGTCTACACCAGTCTGTGTTCTATGCATATAGACATCATCATTGATGTCTTCTTCGAAAAGGACATGCTGAACATCAGTGCTTAGTGGAGGATGCTCACCAGCAAAGAACGTTTCGCGAGAAAGGAGTACAGACAAATCTGGATTCTCAATCGCATTCATGTCAAACGTCATTTTCAATTGTAGACTACTGCTGGCGGCTGACGCATGTTTCCTGTAACACACCTTGAATGCACGATTATTCCGTCATTAATCAACCAACGGATTCTCGAAGGCGGATGCATGAACTAGTATTGCCGGATACAGTTGACAATTGAATGTTTTACGTACGCAATGTGGACTGAGTAAAAAAAGGGTTGGAGGAAGAACTCATCATTTTTCGTTCAACGTTTGGTTTGTTGAACCATTACAACCAAATAACATTGATTCGTCTGTTCTTAGCTTTCAGCGGCCGAATCAGATGAGACTGTTTTGTGCATCCTAGAAATTACCATTAGTTGCATTAGCTTAGTTTTTCTCCGAGTTGGTATAAGTGCACGATTATCTTGAAAAACAGTAATTGATTTCATACACACATACGCAAACGGGGTTAAAAAAAATGTCACGTTTTGTTCGACATCAAAATAATATTGGTACGTTTGAATCATCACAGTTAACATTAATTCTTTTAACTAAGATTAAATGCAGTATTCACAAACCCTTGCAGCACGAAAGACAATGTTTTCACGAAACCTGGTGCATTCAAAGTTGTCCCAGGTCGATGTAAAAGCCTCGTTCATATGTGTTCGGGCTTGACTGTCCAAAACTGACAAGCGTGGGTCAAGCAGCGCACAATCTGAAGGAACGGCCCTAGTCGATTTGTATTTCTTGTAACATGAACGTATGACGCCTGAAACAAAATTGTTATGTAATAACATAACTCAGTTTATTGTCATTCAAACATCTGATTATGTTTATCTCGGATTTTTTCGTCTCTTTTCCTCTCCCAGTAATCATTTGTAACACAGTCAGAACGGTTTGGCATGAAACCTCTTGGAATGTGGCCTGGGATACCTGGTGGCACTACAAAGAAGGAGCTATTGGAGGTGAGAACAGTGACGGTCGATTAGAGCCATTTCTATCTATTTGAGTAGTTAAGCGAGGATAATCAAATGCTAGACCTTTTCCGGAATATGACTTAATAAAAGCTGTATATATTTATCGTTATTTTGGGCATATTTATCTAGTTTATTGACGGTCATTCAAATCGACATGCTTTGATTTAAACAGCCTGCTCAAATTAAAAATAAGCAATATGCATGAAAATTGCAGTAAAACCAAATTCGTCGAACGTGATAACATGAAAGTTGTGGCTTGTGTTTTTTTAAATTTTGGCTGATTCAGCAATCTTTTGATTTAATGAACGTGTACTACTGAAAACGTAACGAAGTAATGAAGAACGTTTTTGACGCAACATGCACGTGTTAATGTTCTATGAAACGGAAGGTTCATCTGTTTGAAAAAGCACTATATCCGTTTTCTTCTTGCTTTAAAGAAGCAAACATGATTGACAACTATCTCTACGTGCCAAATATAAAGGGATTTATATTGTGATATGTCTAGCTGCACAAAGGGGACATAGAAAGGCATAATTTGAAAAATGGAAAGTCATGGGAATCCTCCTATATTCTGTTTGTTAATTTTTTCAACATTCTCTATCGTATTTTTGTTCCTCTTTGTATGTTTTTCGTACTGCATGTTCAAAAACGAAAAAGTTTCTCTGTGCTTTCCCTGTGGAATATTTAACCGTTTGATTGATATCATCTTACGGTATAAAACTCTGTAGACAACAGACATCAAAATCTTCATCTTATACATGATTGTTTGAAACCACTGGTTACCAAAATTTGTGTAAATAAAAGTTGGCAAGCAAGGTCGTTTTTGGTGGCTTGTCCATCATAATGAACACAATAGTGCTTTATGGGGTAAGAATTAATCAGAGAGTGGGAAACGTTCTGCTCCTTAATCGAATCTTGTTCACACATTGGTCATAACAGATACGCATTGACTCGGGTTATACGGAAGGCGGGGGTGGGGTGGTAACTGCTTTCCATACAGTGATGCCCATGAAAAATTCAATGATCTTGCAAACTGCTTTTGAGCAACATGAATAAGAGGAAGGAAGTTTTTATTACGGTAAAAATGTTTGTGATAAGCGACAAAGAGCACTAACTGGACAGCTGTTTTGTCCTGTTTGGGACTCCTCAACAGTGCGTACTTTTTACGTCCCTGTCAGGACTCAAACCGCGAACATTTGGGTTGGGACTTCGGAACATCACCTCCAAAATCCACGGTCGACGGTTATCACCTTGTGTGAATAGTGCCTGGGAAAAACCGAATGGACGAATCTAAATGTTCACCATCTGATTTGATTGAACCATTCGCTAAGGTGACGACCACCGACTATGTACCTCAGGGGTAAGGGTGTGAAGTCCCAATCCAAATGTTTGCGGTTCCAGTCCTGAGAAGGACATTAAAAGTATACACTGCTGACAAGTCTCAAACAAGACAAAACAGCTATCAAGTGATCTTTGTCGGTTATCATAAACATTCCAATCGCATTTTAATGCATTAACCTAGTGGGGAATTGACGGTATCCCAAGGAGTGAATCCCACACCCAAAATCATGAAAAATGCTGTTGCCTGTAAAAAACCCGAATGTGTTAATCCAAACATTCACCGTCTAGGTAAAAATTTTAATCGTACTCACTTCCTCTTTGACCAGGGTGCCTTGAATTTTGAGAATCCAGCCGGGGGAAGTATGCTTCAGCCACACTACCGAAGTGGGTTGACTCCACGATAGGTAAAAACGTTTGATGGACCTATCGAGGGAATAGTGTTAATTCTAACAAAATGAACTGGACAGGTATTGCTCATATTTTCGACTCATTTTCGGGTTGGTAGCCGAAAGTCCTAGTTCTGAGAAACGCGGCGGGTGATCAATGTTTAGTCGCATGGTTAAGTAAATTGGAGTAGTTTTTAATCTGTCCTATTCATGCAATATATATATATATACATTTTCTCGAAGTTGGTCACTTTACTGTTCAGTGTTTCCGAGTAGCACTTCAGGATTTGTTTAGCTAAACGTATGCTGTTACAAAGTAATTGCCTCTTCAATAGATGGGTATATGTACCCTTGAATATCGAAACATGTACGTGAACATGTTTTCCATCAAGTAATCTCCGCGTTCTGGTTCATATCTACTCCGAGCGCTTGCACCGTAAAACTACTAAAGGAGTCGAATTATCTGTTAAATTGGTTGATTTGGAATTCTGGGTTGAAATATTTTCTGAGTTTTCTTTCTTCACAAATTTGAAAGGATAACCACATAATGTAAGTTCCATACTCTTAATTCGGACATGGCTGAACACAAGCCCGTAAATTTCGCCACTTCCTGTTTTTACCGTCATCCCTCCCCCCTCTCTCCGGCGTCTAGGTCCCAGCTACTGGGGTCACACTGCGCATATGGCATACGCAGAGGACGTGTGGCGTTCATGTCACATGGGAAAACTTCAGTCTCCCATTAGCATCAGTTCGTCCGATTTGACTTATGACAAGTCCCTGCGTCAACTGGATGTACTTGGAAAAGAAAAACAAGTAAGTAAAAACAAAAGGTTTCGGAAATTGATGAATTAAAGAAAACCAAACCCCAAATTGACTTTATTGAGTACCGTCAAGTGTTTCGGGTGTAGTTGTCTAGGAACCAAATATCATACCATCCAACCGTGGAGCTAACCTCTTCTCACTGTATATCTTTCAAAGCCAGTGCTTCATAGAAATCAGTCACATTTATGAACCTATCCCATTAAGTACTTCTATTGTTGTTGTTTATAGCACTGATACTATCATATGAACCCTGATATTGCTCTGTTTGTGTTCTTCCAGTTCAGTGAGTCTATTTTTGCACTACTGATGGATTTTTCTCAACAAACATGAATGAATACTGATTTGCTGAATTATTGTAAAACTATCTGAAGTGATTTGGTATTGTTTCTCTTGGTCTCCTTTAACCAATTCGTCAGAACAGAGAGGAGACAAATGCTGCGAGATGTTAATGTTTCTTTTGATCTCTTCAGCCGCTACAACGTAAAACAATCATATATATATATCATGAGGTGATTAGATGGCACCGTGCAGAGATCCGTCTATCGGAAGACTACATGGAGTGGACAATGCTTACAATTGGCTAGTTTCGTTCTTTTGGCACAGAAAAGAGATATGGTGAAGATTCTGTTCCATCGTGCCAGGAATATTTACGCCCCTGATACTCTTCAAGAAGAAGATAACTTTCCACGAAGGACGCTACTTGATAACGGTTATCCAGAGAAATTTATTGACGTACATAGCAGACAAAATACACCGACTGATCCCGTCTGCGAAGTACCAAGGAAGAGCGTATTTCTCAGACTCGCCTTTAAAGGTGATCATATAATGAACGACGTGCGTCAAACGCTCAAGGCGGTATTGTGTCGAGCGTTTCCTGCTGCACAGCTTCGATTGATATTTGTACCCAAGGACTTCATGTGAACAATCGAAAACAGAACCAGCCGTACAACTCTGCTTCACATGTTCTCTATCAGTTCGCCTGCAGTTGAGGTGACACTTACAGAGTCAGAACGAATCGGCCCCTGTCACAGCGAATGTCTGAACACATTCCCAAGTGGTTGTACAGCCGATGACGCAACAAAATCTTATAGGTCAAACTGTTAAGAGAAATCCAGGGTCATCAATCGCAAAACATGTCATGACAACTGGACGCATCTTTGACCCAAATTTGTCGTTCGGGCCGTTATTACGAGAAGGAATCCCGGGATATTGGCGTTTAGCGAGGCGATGGTAATCAAGTTACGTGACCCAATCTTGTGCGCACAGCAGTTTATTACACAAGCAGTCAAATTGTCGTGAAACTAAGTTCCCACCCGACCCGACCCCACCCGCGCCACCCTGACTATTGGCCATTGACCCCTTGTAGTTAACAAAACCTGTTTGTATAAATACCAGATCGATACCAGATACGTTATCGTGACTGAAGAGATTAAAAGAAATGTTAACATCTTGCAGTATTCGTTTGTCTTTTCTCTGTTCTGACGAATTTAGATTCTGTTTGCACTACAAACATTTAAGTGCTATTACGACTCAGCTGTACCACTTGAAGGTTTTCGGTAATGATCAGGACTAATGCCTAATCGTATAGTGCAATGCAGATAAGAGAAAAGGAGATTTATGTGAATATTAAATAAACATGCGTAGCAATCCCTCAGTAAAGCTGATCGTACCGACCATTAGGGGTACATATGTGAATTTACGTTGGCGGTGAATTTGGATTACTCGATAAAATGGAACAAAACAACATTTAACCTTTTTCAGCTCTAAGTTACTTTCACATNTAACCACTCCAATACAGGTTTCGTTAAATTCCTCTAATGATGGTCAAACTGATTAACTGGCTAACCCAGTTTAACTGGAACACCGCTTTTGTGATTAATTGTCCCGATAAGAGTTGTGGAGGGTTTTAATGGTGCACTGATAGACCGTAACCAGATGCCGTCTGGGGAACCGACCAATAAGCTCAGGAATCAGCGCGTTTGAGACGTGGGGGAAAAACTGAATCGGATCTGTTGTTCGTTCATTACATTCAATGAAACTGAATAAAATATATCCTGAATTAGTGGAAACTCAGTGTAATATGCTGAAATCCTCCAATTACATGTTGCTGAAACTGTCGAGTGATATGTTATTGTAAACGGTCGTGTTTGATATTTGAGCAGCTTTGGTATACAGGTTTGCATTTCTTCTCCATATTTAACTGCAAGCATAATTAAAGGCATTATCCTATTCCTAAATGCCTTTTTGTAATGTGATAAATAAAGAACTCTATGTGAACACTTTTGGTACATTTTTCTATCATCCGTGTTTCTTGTTCTGCAAGCAACCCAATGAACCATAATGTGTGCTAGATTAATCATCAATAATCTGATATTATTATATTGAAGGTCAAGAAGGTTTTTTGGTAAATAATCAGTGAGGATTCTGCAAAGCAGATGCAACTAATTGGTTGTAAAAGATGTTCACGGATTTGTGTTAATTGTCATAAAGCAGCATAAAAAATGAGAAAATGGAACAGTTCCAGTTTTAATAGCTAGAATGCTCATATATAAAAAAGTGATTGGATCACATTTGTATCAATCCAACGGGCGTGTTTCAAGTGTTTTATCAATTAAAAAATTGTTTTAGGCCTTTTTCCTGGTTGACCATAAAGTTCTGTTTATTCATCGTTGTTGTTCACGTATTCCGCCATTTTAACCTCTCGATGCTTGCAATCACTTAGCTCACATAAGTCTATCAAAGTGCAAGCGTGCTTTGGTGTGCGAATCGATGTCCAGAGAGCCAAAGTCGTATACGATTTCTCCCCTGTGCAGAATACCACAGGGTGTTCTGAGTAACTGTTAAGGAATACGCCAGGAAAGGTTTATACTCCAGAAGAATGGTGAGGAAACTTCCCGTTGCATGCAAAGTGTTTGTATATTTCAGTCGACAGTTGACTGAAGGCAGCATTAATGATGACTTTATTTATAAGGGTTTTGTTCTTACTGAAGTCGGCCTATTCTGGATAGTCCTGAGAAGATCCTGTTCAACGTACGTACACGGAGAGCTGTGTAATGGTTGGTAATCCATGCTTCATTCCATTTATGCATATGATGATGGGGATCGTAGTTATAGGTCCACAGTTTGTGCTCTGGGAANTCTGACGCTTACACCGATCCAGACTTACAGGATCAGGATTTGCAGAGCTGCCTTTGATTCTACCAATCGCTTGGCTTTGTAGAACTGTTTGCGGAGATACGGAGTACCCGAGAAGAATGTTTCACTCCTAAAAGCGCTCTTTCACCAAACTTCACGGGAAAGTTAGGGCCTTTGGCGAACTTTCACCTTCATTTACTGTCACCAGTGAGGTACGACAGGGTTGTCCTATCTCGCCGTTTCTCTTCAACTTTGCCATAGATGATGTTCTACAAAACGCGTTACATAACGTACCGAACGATGGCGTGGAGCTTCTTCCGGGAAACAGAGTGGTAGACTTAGAGTATACCGAAGATATTGACTTACTCGATGACCAAGCACCAACAATCCAGAAGTTATTAAATCATTTGGCAATTAAGATTACTCGCTGTGATATGTCCTTTGCATCCTCAAAGTGCAGTGTTGTTGCAAGATTGTCAGGAACTCAGTCCTGCAATTTCGTTGGTTAATGAGACTCTGGAAGTAGTTACAAGCTTTGTCTACCTTGGGAGTTACATAAAAGATGGCGGAGGAGTGAAAAAGGAGATCTTTTACCGCGTGATTGAAGTAAGACTAGCGTTTGCTAATCTGTTGCATCTCTGTCGCCGGCGCGACATATTCCTTTCACTGAAAGATCTTGTGTATTGCGCAACGGCACGCACCGTGTTGCTCTATAACTGTGAGACCTGGTCTTTTCAAGCAGATCATATCCAACGACTATCCGTATTCGACAAACGTTATCTGCGCAACATCACCCGCATATGGTGGGAGCATCGCGTGAATAACGATAAGGTCAAACGAAGGGTGCTGGGATCAGATAGTCTTCCGTTGGGTAAAATAATTTCACAGCATCGTCCTAGGTGGCTAGGGCACGTCCTGCAAATGCCTGAACAGCGTCTGCCACACCGTGCACTATTGGCAAACATAGGTCCAGGCTGGAAGAAACAGCGAGGTGGACAGGCTATAACGTGGTGCAGAGAGTTAAAGAGACTGTGCTCCTAACTGGCTTCTGTTGGGGTTTCCCGGCTCCCCGGCTGGGGCCCCAAAGATTCAGATTATCTTTGGCTGGATACACTGCGGGATATGGCATCAGACCGAAGTCAGTGGCGTGAATGCATCTCTCATGTGTAAAAATAAACAAAAACAAAAAAATCTCAAGACTGCGTGCATTGAACAAAAATAGATTGTTACTCCTCCTAGTCAACTGCCTTATTTTCCCCGCTTCCATACCCATAATTTTTGTTAACCCATGATTGTGTTTGGCCCCGTATCTTGTGTTAACTAATTGATAATATAGGATTTACACTAATTCGTGGCAATGAAGAACATTTTGTTTCATACAAATCTGTTTTTCTCTTCAGGTTGACATGGAGATACACAACACCGGGCAGGATGTGAAAATTGAATTACTGGATACCTCACCTCCACTCATTCTGACGGGTGGGCCTCTATCCTATGAATACCGAATTTTCGGGGCACTCATTAAATTTGGATCAGATTCGTCAAAAGGATCTGATCACCAGATAGATGGATTCTCTTTTCCTGCAGAGGTTAGTGTTTTGTATATATATACATATATATATACATGCATATAACAGTGCTAATGTGTTTTCGAAATTCAAGGAATACACCTGAATTGTCGAATAATATGGTGATGAACATTTTTCATGTGTTTATATATTGTAAAACAGTAGTCATCTTTTAGTTTACAACTGTTTACTACGGACTACTTTGCTGTTCGATTACTGAAGCTAAATATAGTTGAATACAGCAACTGAACCATATTTGAAGAAAACAATCTTGATCAACAGGAGAAATTATCTCAAATGTTAATGGTGGATTTATTCCTGAGTGGATTGCCCTCAACGGATTTCATTAGCAACTCCACTGTTATAGAATTTCTCGATTATTGTCTGCCCTCACATTGTGGTTTTCGCATGAGAAGGGTAGCCATCCCCGGAAAAATTGTGATTGCTGAATATTACAGGCCGAACATTTGCGATAATTTTATAAGGTCCTCATGGAGGATTACAAAGCATTCAGAGATGGAGCTGGGTTAGAATAGGCCCATTCAATTTTGTAGTTCAAGTCCGAAGGGAGTTTGCACAAAATCAATCATGATCATAGACGCAGTTTTTTCCTAAATGGCTACATTTGTCATTGCAAGAGAAATTCATGCGTGGAAGCATTCAACTAAAAGTAAACTAAATGAAACTGAATTACCCGATATTATTCAGTTTCGTTTTACAAACGTTTCTTTTACATGAGCGCAATAGAGGACTTGATTCAATTATACATAAGAGTGGATTTCTCCGTGTACAGAGCAAATGAAGCGCGAACTGGAAAATTGGATAGCATTGCTGCTTGGGTCTCATCAGCAATATGAATCTATCGACTCCCTCATGCACCAGGTTCAGTTCAGTTCAGTTTGTACAACCATTAACCATCATGTCCAATCGTCTACCGGTTTTGGTTACTGTCTTTTGGCTGCCCCTTTAGATGAACATTAGGAGGAAGACAAGAAAGGTTGAAAGTAAAATGAAAGAGAAAATTAAGAATTTCATTGGGCCGAGAAATTGAGAAGATGAACTAATGTCACTGTTTACGACGCTCAGCCACATCACTTAGTGTCTCCAACCACCGAGTAAGATCATCCCGAGGTCCACATCAAAGGAGCCTCACGGGACCTACGTGACCCAGACTCCTGGTTACAATTTCATACCTTCACGCCAGGTCTTAGCTTGACCATCCTTGGTTTTCTTCCACCCACTACCTGCCTCGGCGAATATCGCTCGCTGTAGCAACCTATCTCGTGACATGTGTAACACATGCCCAAACGAACGTAATCTATGGAGGTCGACCATTTTCTCCAGTGGGCGATCGCGGTAGTCTAAACCTATGCACCTAACCTTAGCACTGCTCGTCCGGTTGCCCCACCAGATTCGTGCAATGCTGCACAGACAGCGGTTCTCAAACACCGACAGTCTGTCTTTATCATGGTTTCTTAATGGTAAATTTTCTGCTCCATATAGCAGAACTGGCCGAACTGCTGCAGCATACACTCGACCCTTCCCAGATAGCCGAATGTCGCGACGGTACTACAGATGTCTCAAGTTAGCAAACGCTAACCGAACCTCTTGTATGTGAGCCGACAATTCATCTGTGATTCGTCCAC